ATTGATGAATGTTCAAGGAAAGTACCAATGGTTGAACTAAGACAACGGCCATGGGAATACAGAGGGATTGACATTCAAAAGATCTGTAGAAGGTGGAATGGAAACTAAAGGAGAGGAAGAAGTCAAGGATAATAGATTTGTTGATTTGTTCCTAGTGGCATACCTGCTCTGGACCTGAAATACTGAAGGAAAAGTGGTTGGTGGGCAGGTGCTGGGGAGGAAAAAAGATTGCCAAAGGTCCCATTCATCATCTATGATTAGGCTCTATCTGTTGTTGAAATTTCTCAACAAAGTCTCTACTAATGTGCTTTCTCATTGATGTTTTCTATGCACAAGTTCCCCGTGATTACCAGCACCCTGTCAGTATAGAACAGCCTGTTTCTTTGCTTTTCTCTCGTAAAGCAAAGCAGCAAGCCAATTACTGAGATCATTCAGATGAAAATTTTACTTTTGCCTGAATTAGCCAGAGAATTGAAGCATAAATGGACCTTTTCACTTGACTGATTGAGATAATTGCCTCACTTTTCTAGGGGAGACCTATAGCTGGGAGGCTGTATTTGGTCACCAAAACATGTTTGTAATATACATTATTGACTTCTCTTGAAACAACTCTGGTTGGCTAGGTGCCACACTCAAACACTTGCCCTCATCTTTTTAGGTATTTGAAACAATACAGAGAAATACCATGCCTGGGAAACTCAGTGTTGAATTATTTCATTCTTGGGCAGCCCTTAAATACATCAGCTCAGGCCTCCAGTAGAGGTAAAATGGCATCTAGGGGAGTCTGGGAGAAGGCGGCAGGGCAGGAGCGTGGTTCAGTGGATAAAATGCAAGAAGTGAGAATTAGCTCCAGGTGCATGGGAACAAATGGCTTTTCCTGAAAGAATTGGGTAGGTAGACTTGAAAGAAACATGTAATTTACATTTATTATTGGGAGGGGTGAGAGGGGTTAATAAAGAGAGCTGAGTAGGGGCAGACAATTAAAGCAGCAGCAGGGCTCAGATCAGAGCCTTTTGGCCTGGATCTTGGGTAATAGAAGCTTTTTCTAACAGCATGAGACATGGGAAAAGAAGGCTTCTAAAGAAACAGCACAGCATCTGAGCTTTTCTGAAGCTTTTGCTATCTGGTGGCCTGCTATGACAGCCTGGGCGTGTACAGACAATGCGTGTTCAGTACTGACCTACAAAATTCACTGCAAAGCAAGATGTGTATTAGAAAAACCCATACAAACTTCAAGTCTATGAGGAAAGGTTGTCATGTAAATGTGTCTGTAATTACTTTGTGATGGCTCCCCTTACTGGCCAAGAGGCAGAATGTCCTAGATCCTGAAAAGAAGTAGGAGGAGGTAACGCTGAGGCAGCCTGGTTAATTTCTAAATTTCCTGTATTAAAATATATGTGTGTGTGTGTGTGTGTGTGTGTGTGTGTGTGTGTGTGTGTGTTGCTAAAATAAATGTTTTATTTTCTGAGTATCAAATGAAAAAACAGAAATCCCAGCCATGGCATTTATAAAATCCACCAGGATTATTTTTTAATTTTTTAAATTTATTTATCTTCAGTGGTGTTTAGAGTCTGCATAAAGTTTTGTGATTATAAAAAATATGACTGCTTTAAATGTTTCAATTTTTAAACTTTTATATTACATATAATTTCAAAAGCAATTTGAGGTGATGGATGAGACATATTCACACATCAGAATTGATATATCCAAACAATCTACATTTTGGGGAGAGATTATACGCTAACAATAAGGAGGTTGTCATTATTTAAAGCAATCTTGATTTTTTTTTGCATAGTTTCATTGTTTGGAATATTGCTTTAACTGTGGCAAATAGACATACATTAAAAGTATATTCAACATCTTGTAATATCCATAGGTCATTCAGAATCAACTATGTTGAACTAGTTGAACTAGTAAAGTTAAAATGTTGTATCCAAAATAATAAAAATGATGCACATATCTTCCAAACTTTTCCCCAGGATTCCCAAAGAATAATCTTAAAAATGTCAAAAAATATACTAAGTATATATTACCCCCCTTTCCCACAGGCTATGTATGTTGCTATTTATTTAAATATAAGTAATGGAATATTGTATTTTAAAGATGTTTTGTTTGTTAATATCTCTTTATAGGTGTCATAAATATTTTTATGTATACGAAAATTGGTCTAAGAAGACCAACTGAATTGCTAGTATCAGACTAATTTTTTTGCTTTAATATAAACCAAGTCTGACATATCTTGTTTACAAACAAATAATATTGGCATGAAAAAAGTCACACCATTACACAGATTTTTTATTTAAGCTGATCCTGCAATAGATAGGATACTGTTGAAACTAGCAGTTTACATTAAAATAATTAATTTTCTTCAGATTTTTTAATTCTTTCTGTACTTTTTTTGATATATGCACTGTGTTAGAAGATTCTAAATTTGTTGCTGTAGTAACAAACACCCCCCCAACCTCAATGGCTTAAAACATGGTTTCACTCCAGGTCCATCTTCAGTGGGTGAGGTACTCCATCATCCTTGTTCAGGCGCTAAGACTGATGGAGCCTCCACCGTCTGCAGCATTGCAGGCAGGGGGAGGAATTTGGCTTCTCATGTGCTGCTTCTTAAAGGTTTCTAACTGGAAATAACATATGTCACTTCCACTCATATTGCACTGGCCAAAATAAGTTACATGGACAGAAATAGAACTGCGTTTTACTTCCTGTTGTCTTAATTGACCCCAACAAAGATGCTTTAATCTTTCACAGAAAAAAAAGAAGTTTGGGTCATGTTGTCCTACAGTATGTTTGGAAGAAGAACAGAAACATTGCTGAACAGCACCAATAACTCCCACATTCACCCTAATTGAGGAACTTCATCTTAATGCAGGGAAAGAGGACAGTGCTTTCATAGCTGAGAATCCAAAATAGTGACAGGATGTAGCAAAATTTATATTTTGGTTTCTTTTTTAACAGAAAGAGGCCTAACATTATATTTGCTGGTTAGGTTTAATGTCTGAACTTCTTTTCAAGTCTAACTTTTTATTAAAATAAATTGTGCTTAAATTGAGCTCTCTGAGGATTCCACAGGGATTGATCGATTTGCCTGGTTAGGGCTTCTCAGGATGGATGTCAGGAGTGGGGCAACGGCATGAGAGCAGCTGTTTTCAGGGCTCCAGCCTCAATCTTAAGCGTTGCCATGGTGACAGCTGCCCACAGGAACCCACTGGGAGCCCAGTAGGAGCACTGGCTGCCAGAGCTTTGTATCAGTGTGCCATCCCCAGCCTTTCAGAAACAAGCATAATGAACTCTTTAGCCAGGGTGTTTCTGCCTACTAACCTAAGGGACAGTTTATTCTTGCTTGAATTGTCAACTGCCAGCTGTCAGTTCAGGCAAATCAAGTCTATTCTCTCTTTCCTCTTGTACCCTTGCTCTCAGCTTATTTTCATATCAAATTCCACTTTTCTCTATTTTATAGCTACACAATTAATAGCTATTAATAGAGAAAATTCAATTCATAAATTTAGATACAATAAAAAATCCAAAGATATAAAGTCCTCTAACACAGCACTGCCTAACAGAATTTTCTGTGATGATGTAAATGTTTCATATCTATGCTGCTCAATGCAGTAGCCACTGGTCACCAGCGGCAACTCAGCATTTGAAATGTGGCCAGTGCAACTGAGTAACCAAATTATTTAACTGATATAATTTGAGTTCATTTTAATTTTAAATAGCTATACATGGCCAGGACTAATGTATTGAGTAGCACGGTTCTAGAATCATAGTCAAATCCAGGGAGTGGCACCAGCTAGAGCTGGCCAGGCAGGAGCCACAGTTAGCAGCATTCTCTCACAAAGTAGCATGTTTATTATCTGCTTTAGAGTATATTATTATTATTATTATTGCTGTATAAGGTGTGCCTTGGCCTGCCCTAACTGGCTGTTGTAAATTTAATTATGTAGCTAAAGAGGAGGAAACGGAGGCATGATTATCTGGGCCGTTACAGGCAATAATCCTCTACAAGCAAGACTGAAAGGGGAAAGGTATTAATATTTCTGAATAATGTATCAGCCACATTACAGTGATTCTACAAAAGAACTGGATTCTAGATGGAAGTCATGAATTCTAGTCCCAGATTTTATGCTAGTAAATTGTATTACTTAGGAAGGACACTCACTGGGAGGCCTGCATGTGTTTGTGTGTGTGTGTGTGTGTGTGTGTGTGTGTGTGCGCGCGCGTGCGTGTGTGACTTTATTTATTTATTACTTTTTGCCTAAATTCCTCTTCTGTATAAAAGGGAGTGTAATAATATTTTCTGTGTGCTTATTAATATGACAGGGGCTTTATGTAAGTCTTATTTATTCCTTTTAAGAAATCCATAAATTTGTGATTTTTATGCAGATTATACAGATGAGGAAACTGAAGCTTAGCAAAGTTAAGTGCCTAAGATTTCCCAGCTAATAATTGGAAGGATCAAAATTCATTCAAACTCGTCTGTCTCCAAAACCCAATTTCTTTCTACGAAATACCATTAGAATGTTTCTAAAATCCCTTCTAACTCTTAATCATCACTAAGTGAGTGCCATGTAATAAATACATTGAATGAGCTTTGCGTACAACCCAAAATAGAATTCTTAATTGTATTCCATTTTTAAAAACATGGTAACAACTGCAACTACTAGTTATTTCCTAACCTGGAACCACTTAAGATTTCCTAATCAGTGGCTTTCACCCCTGGCTTTGCATTAAAATTATTTGGAGAGTTTTTAAAAAATATTGATAGCAGGTATTCTTCTCAAATGACTTAAATCACCATGTGAAAGAATGGGACTTAGAGACAGGTTTTTTCTTGGTTGTTTTTTGTTTGTTTATTTATGAGGGTTGTTTTGTTTTGTTCTGTTTGAGACAGGGTCTCACGCCATCACCCAGACTGGAGTGCTGTGGCATGATCATAGCTCACTGCAGCCTCGGCCTGCTGGGCTCAAGCAATCCTCCCATGTCAGCCTCCCAAGTAGCTAGGACTACAGACATGCACCACCATGCTCAGCTAATTTTAAAATTTGCTAGAGATGGCTTCTCACTCTGCTGCTGAGGCTGGTCTCAAACTTCTGGGCTCCAGAAATCCTCCCACCTTGGCCTCCTAAAGCCCTGGAATTACAGATGCGAGCCACCATATCCAGCCAGGATAGTTTGTTCTTAAGTCTCTCATATGATCTCAAAGTGCAGGTTGTGCTGAGAACCATTTCCCTAATGTAAGGCATAGAAATTGAGCCACCTGCTAGGACTTCAGGACCCTGCCTCCAGGAGGAAGCCCCCTGACAGCTTGGCTGATTTTATCTTATGTGTTTATGTTAGGGAAAACTGCCAAATTGAAATAAGAAAGCCATCTTCCACAAGCAAGCTTCTCCTCCTAAAGACTAACCATAATGCAAGAGAAATTTTCCATTTTCTCTCAGGAATCAGAAGCCTTTACCACATGCACGACTGGAAGGAAAGTAGTACAAATAGGAGGATCCTTACCTAATGGGAGAAGGGAGATCTTGCCATTCAGGACTTTGCTTTGAATCTCTTTCCACGTGCCTGGGTGCTGTCACAGTATGTGTCCATATTCAGACTGTAACAGGGTTTGAGAGGGTTCCTTGCTGGCAGGCAATGTCATAGGAAAATAGGTTTTATGAAGCAGTGATTCCCCCAAGGAGCAAAGGAGTTGAATAAATAGGGTAATTCCTAGATTAGAAGAGCAGGCTGCCTACGCTATTACACCCAAACCAACTGCCTTCTGTTTTTCTTTTTTTGACCCAAATTCTATGCAGAATCTTATCAAAATAAATAAATACACAAATAAATAATGACTACAAACAAAAAACTCAATAACTCCTAATATTACTTAACTTTTGCATGATTTTGAACGTGTCAATGCTTATCTTAAAGCACTGTTGTACTAATTTCATTCCTCTACTTATCCTAAAAGATCTTTAGTGACGTGCCTTTTCTCACAGCAGTGCACTTCAGACTTGGGGAAGTTTATTTAAAATGCCTATTTCTAGACTCCATTCCTGGAGGTCTAGAATGGGATGCATTCATAACATATATATTAAGTGTTCTAGGAAATCAATAGGTAACTGGGATAGGCTAAATAATGGTCCTCCAAAAATGTCCTCATTGTTGTCCCCAGAACCTATGAACATGTTACCTTCAGTGGCAAGGGACTTTGCAGATGTGGTGAAGGATCTTGAGAAGGAAGGTTATTTGGTTATGCAGGTGGTCACAATGTTATCATAAGGGCCCTTATGAGAGGGAAGCAAGAGGATCAAAATCAGAAACAGATGTGATGACGAAGCCAGAAAAAGGTGTGATGATGATGCACTTTGAAGATGGGGGAGAGAGAGCCATTAGTCAAAGGATGCAGGCAACATCTATAAGATGCAGGCACTATCTAGAAGATAGAAAAGGCAAGGAGACAAATTCTCAGATTGTTTCTAACACCCTCAAAAAGAATGATGCTCTGCAACATCTTGATTTTAGACTTCTGACGACCAGAACTATAAAATAATACATTTGTGTTGTTTTAAGCCACTAAGTTGGTGGTAATTTGTTATAGTAATAATTGGAAACTTGTATAGTTATTCATGAAAAAGAGCATTACCCCAAATAAAACACTTTCTATAGAAATCAACTTCAATATATCTTATTATTGTAAAGCATCCTGGAGCACTAGGAGTGAAGTAAATTGTTCACTTCAGGGACTTAGGGAAAATCCAGGACAAAAGTGGAATTATCTTAGTTTGGTTCTATCTCTTTATCCTGGCACTCAAGGTATCTTCCCCTAGTCTAGGCCAACCTTTCCCACATTATCCCGTTATTTCTATATCCTTACTTCTATAAGCAAGCAAAATAGTGGATATATTTTCTCCCTGAATAAGCCCCATTAATTTCTGTTTCACTACCTTGATACATAGACTTCCCTCTTCCTGAAGTCCTTCCATTCTTGAATGTTAGGTTTCACTAAAGGTCGGGTCCTGCCTCTTCCTTAGCTATCCAGCATTAGGTGAGTACTGACCTTGGAACTCTTATGGTGTCAGTATGGCTGCTCTTTAAAGATCATGATGAAGAATCGCTAGTCTAGTTCTTCCTCGGTGTGATGATCTGATTGGCTCTGAGGCTTGTGGATACTTCCTAAAGCAATATTGAAGAAAGAATGAATGACTAAAGACCGTAATCCAAGTCAAGTGCCTAGATTTTCAAGTTCCCTCTCTTTATGAACTATATTTCACTTATTTCCACAAAGTTTTAAAAATAAATACCCAATGAACTTTAAAAAAAATTTATAGAGATGGGTATCTCACTTTGTCTACCGGGCTGGTCTTGAACTCATGGCTGCAATCCTCCCACCTCAGCCTCCCAAAGTGCTGGGATTATAGCCATAAGCCACCACACCAGCTGCAAATAACCTCAATTACATGTTCTGTTAGTATAGATAGATATCTTCCTGGCACAACAGTAAAAATCTTCTTAATTACTTGACTGATAGATGATAACTCAATATTTACATCTCACCGGGGTAACACAACATTTTAAAACATATTTCTTATTGGTATATACTTCACATACCATAAACTTCACAATTTTAAAGTGTGGTATTCAGTGGTTTTTAGTATATTCACAGAGTTGTCTGACCATTACCATTATCTAATTCCAAATATTTTAATTATCCCCATAAAGAAACCCGTTAACCATTAGTAGACATTCACCATTCTCCCTCCTTTCTCTAAGCCACTGGCAACTACTAAGCCACTTTCTCACTCTATGGATTTGCCTGTTCTGTACACTTCATGTCAATTAATCTTACAATAATCAAGTGGTCTTTTATGGCTGGTTCCTTTCACTTCACATAATGTTTTCAAGGTTCATTAATGTTGTAGTATGTATCAGAATCTCATTTCGTTTTATGGCTGAATAATATTACATTGAATGGACATACCACATTTGTAATCCCTTCATCAATGACAGACATTTGGGTTGCTTCCACCTTTTAGCTAATATGAATAATTTTATTTGTGCAACAATTTTTACTTTCTGTAGGTATTTGTGAACATATGTTTTCAGTTCTATAAGGCATATATGCCTCTAGGAGTAGAATTGTTAGGTCATAAGTCATATGTATAACTTTTTGAGGTCCTGTCAGACTGCTTTCCACCTTTTCTGTGGCTGCATCATTTCCCATTCCCACAAGTAATGTATATGGATTACAGTTTCTCCACAACCTTGCCAACAGTTGTTATTTTCCATTTTTATTATAGTTATGCTTGTAGGCAAAAAGTAATATATCTCATTGTGGTTTTTAGTTTTCTAATGGATAATGATGCTCAACATCTTTATTGGCCATGTGCATATCTTTTTTTTTTTTTTTTTTTTTTTGGAAAAAATGGCCATTTAAATCTTTTGCCCATTTTTAATAGTTTTTTTCTTTTTTTTTTTTTTTATTGTAGAGAACATAGCCTTTTAAATTAAAATAAGAGTCCAGAAGTTGGGCTGTATTTCCCAGATACTAGCTAGTATCTTGCCCCTTTTCATAGATTTATTTGTATACCTCAGGTTATCAGTCCCACTATAGATCTCCTCCCTCACAGCAATCAAACTTAGGACTTCATCCGGAAATGGGTGGAGAGATCACTCTTGCAGCTCCAAAAATGCTTACCTGGATGGTCAATGACTGTCTCCTTCTTGTCGCTCAGCTCTCTGAGAGTCCTTGGTTGGCTATGCAGTTCGCTGCACCCAGTTACTTTCTCCATATATATATATATATATATATATATATATATATATCTCCATATATATATATATATATATATATATATATATATCTTTTGTTTTTGAGACAGAATCTGATTCTGTCACCCAGGCTGGAGTACAGTGGCACAAACAGGGCTCACTGCACTTTGGACCTCCCAGGCTCAAGCGACCCTCCCATCTTAGCCCCCCAAATAGCTGGGACTACAGGTACGCCACCACACCTGGCTAATTTTGGTATTTTTGAAGAAATGGAGTTTCACCACATTGCCCAGGCTGGTCTTGAGCTCCTGAGCTCAAGAGATCCTCCCGCCTGGGCCTCCCAAAGTTCTGAGATTACAGGTGTCAGCCACGGCACACGGCCCACTCAGTTACCTTCTATTGCATTGCCTGTTACCTTATTTTATAGCTTTCGTAGTAGTCATTATCTGATATTTCTCATTTGTTTGTTTGCTGATTATCTCTTCCTTTTGGGAGTGTGAATTCCATGAGGCCAAGACATTGCCTGTTATGACTGATTGTGTGACTGATGCTGACACAGTGCCTGTCACATGGTAGACTGGGGCTGAAGTTCAGTTCCCAGGGGACTGGCTCCTTAGGAAGTAGCATGTGTCACGGGAAGATGTGTGACATGGGGAAGAACTTTCTTGAGGAGTTACCAGGTCCTCCAGTATCAGACCCCTTTATTTTACTTTTTAAAAAGTTTTAAAGAAAATCTGGCAAACTACAAGTATACTCATTTTAATAGTAACTATCAGAAGCAAGTCTAGATTCCAGAAACTAATTTAACTCAATGAATGTGTTAAACTAGTTCAAGATTAATCAGAATCCCTTAGATGTCTTTATTCTTCCTGCAATACTAAATGAAACATAATAAACATTTTATGCTAAATTTTTGCATAGTTTTAAGCTCATCATTTGTGTAGTAGTCTCATTGCTATCACAGATAGAAAAGATAAGGTCTGAATCTATATTGCTCCCCAGGAAACTACATTTTAGCAGCACTTATGAGTAGTCACACCCATCTAAATTCAAATCCTAGCTCTGCCACTCACCTTCAGGAAAAACTTGGCCAAGGTGTTTGACTTATCTGAGTCTCTCCCATCTCTCACTGAGGCTTTCCCAAGTGGGGAAAATGGAGCCAGTAATATAGGCCTACAGAGCTGTTTGAAGATTACAAACAAAACATTGCCCACAATAAGGGAACAATAAATGTTAGCTGATTTTTCTCTCTTTAAATTTCTGTTTCAGCTACAACTCTGTTATGGGTAGGTGTGAGTGAAAGAAATTAGGTAAAAAAAATTATCTAAAGAAAAAAACATTAGGGAAAACAAAATAAGAATTCTCATTTAGTTGGATAACAGTTCATGAAGGTTTTTCACTGCATGATTGACTTAAGGATTCAGCACCATTTGGGATTTCCTCTTGGCTAGAAGTTGGATTTTATCCAGTTTCCTCTTTCCGTGGGCAGTGTTCCCCAAACTTAGCTGGATAAAGATGTTATTTGAGAATACAGATTCTGGAATGCACTTCAGATCTCCAGGTTGGAAACTTGGAAACTTGGTCTTCAAGGATCCTCATGATTGCCCAAATAGAGAAAAACAATGCTGTATTTTTTTTATTCTTTGCCAGAAATGAGATAATTTTTTATTTCTTTTCCAGGAAGACCAAAAAATGAACGTGAAAGATAGTTAGAATATACTTAGCTTGACTACTGAGATAGAAATGATGCTAAATAATTGAACAGGAAATTCAGTCAGGATCGTAAGAATAAGCTGCTAAAGAACATTATGTCAAGCACAAAGAAGGTAAGGATTTGCTTCAGGTACACTTGGTCAAATGCTACAGGTGTATGAGAGATGAAACTTAAGACTCAATTTCCTCTTGTATCAAGATCAACTTTCCTCTTGTACGGCTGTACCTAATTTAGTATGTGCACTACTGAAAGAGGTGTTGATTCAAAGTGACATGTGCACAATGCATTTCTTAGTTTGCAGTCTTTGTTTCTAAAATTATCTCTAAATTAGTTGCTTAGAGCCATATAAATCTATTTTAGGAGATGTAGTAAGTGGTTGAAATGGTTAATATGCTTTTAGATTTTTATGATATGATTTTAAAAATCTATTTGAAATAACAGCAGAAGAACAGTTCAAATAGTCCTATCTTAAATTCTTGAAATAGAGGCCAGGCGCAGTGGCTCACGCTTATCATCCCAGCACGTTGGGAGGCAGATGTGGGCAGATCACGAGGTCAGGAAATGGAGACCATCCTGGCTAACACGGTGAAACCTCATCTCTACTAAAAATACAAAAATTAGATGGGCGTGGTGGCGGGCGCTGTAGTCCCAGCTACTCGGGAGGCTGAGGCAGGAGAATGGCGTGAACCCGGGAGGCGGAGGTTGCAGTGAGCCGAGATCACGCCACTGCACTCCAGCCTGGGCGACAGAACAAGACTCCATCTCAATTAAAAAAAAAAAAAATTCTGGAAATAGAAAGTCATGGGGAGAAGAAAGACTGCACCTAAAGAAGAAACAAACGAGTCCTACATTTCCCGCACGTAGAGCAGTCTAAGGAAAACGCATTTGCATGTTTCGTTGTCTTTTTTCCATCTCTCATTGTTTTCTCCATCCGTCTCCTCTGGACCACAGCACCCTCACAGATATAGTACAAGTAGGCCAGCCACACCCCAACCAAAACTCTCCTCCACTTAACAAACAAATCTTTTATTTCCTCAACACAGTGCCAAAGTCTCAACTAAGTTTAGAAAAAAGGCTTTATTTCATTCATAACTTTTTATCATCTCAATGATACCTATCTTATTTTATGATGGAAGCTATAACTCAAGGTACATATAAAATTTAGGGAATATTAGGCAGTATAAAAAACTAAAGAACAAATCAAGCTATAGACAAGAATGCCAGAGACTCTAATATTATCCCACTTTTTAAAATAACTTGAGGGGCACTACCTCTTATAGTATTCATGGTTGTCTGAAACGTGAAATTGAATTATCAAGTCCTAAAAAACTCAAATTCCCATCCCTCATGCAATCCCAATTCCCCTAAATAGGAAGCACTTAATAATAATTTGTAACCAAAAAAACTCAATAATGCCCAGGTTTCAGTAACATGACATGTCCGAGAGGTGGATCCATTCCTCTATTTAAATTAAGTTTATGTCATGATATCTTCATTATACTAAGGGAAAAGTAAGGTTTAAAAATAGAAATCCATGGTTGTTTTATTTTTGTTTTGTTTTTAGTTTGTTGTAGCTGTTGTTTGCTCTCCGTGTTTTATTTTTACATACTTTCAAATTTACAGAAAAGTTGTAAGAGTACTTTTATGGATGGGATGTTTGTATCCCTTCCAAATTCATATGTTGAAATCCTAATCCCCAGTTTAATGTATTAGGGAGTAGGGCTTTGGGGAGGCAATGAAGTCATCAGGGTGGAGCTCTCATAAGTAGGATTAGTGCAGTTATATATGGGACCCCAGAGAGCTCTCTTGACTTCTTTTGTCATGTGAGGATACAATGAGAAGA